ATTTTAAAAAGATTACTTCACTCTGAGTTGATATGTACTATTAATTTAATTTATTTAATACATGAATTAAACACTACAAAATTGAACTATTCAAACCATCAAAGTATGGTTTTGCTTTATTTTTTCATATATATATTAATATAATTATTAATAATTATTAATAAAAAATATAATAAACAATAACAAAGTAAATTAACACTGCTCGATACTAATTAACGAGGTGTCATCATCGATCCCCCGTTTGAGTCTCACCCCCCCATCACTTGAAGCTACCAAGTACATTCCAAACACACTTCTGACTCTATACTTCTCGTCTTTTGCACGTTCAACAACAAAATATGTAGACTCTTCGGGGAAGATATTCCCCGTCACTACTCCCTCCCCTTCACCAACTTTCAAGTACTTTCCATCTTCTGTCCGGAACGCCATATACCCTTCCCGTGATGTAGTCACTATACTAAAGAGTTCCCATCCGCGGCACTCCGTTCTATTCCACTCCACTGTACCATCTGGTTGTGCACTTAAATACCGTCCGTCTTGTGATCGAAATGCCACTTCCTTTGTGACGTCCAACAGAAACTCGGGGTGTTGCGATCTAACTTCTATCTTGAAGAACTCCCAATGCTGTGCGGCGAGTCTATTCACTTCAATATCTCCATTCTTCTGCACCGACACAAACCTTCCCGTAATGCTTTTGAGTGTGTATTTCCCTTGTTCTGGTGCGGGGCCTATTGTAAAGAATTCATCCTCAAAGGCAAGTTCTCGATTTGCGTGTAACTCCCCATTGGAGACACTTAAGAACTTCCCATGTGACGTTCGGATAGTGACAAATCCAAATCGTGGTGCAGCACTCATAGTAAAAAGTTCATTCTCCTCACATACAGGACTCGTCCAAGTCACCGTATTGGTATGATCAACACTTAAATATGTTCCTTTATGTGATATAAAGCAAACGCGACTTACAAAGAAGTGTGAGGGGTCGTACTCATTTTGTGTGTTCAGTTGTGGTGAGCCGTCCATCTTGAATTGAGTCGTTTTCAAGTTTTTTCTCAAGTGGTGAAATAATTCTATTTTTGAGTTTGACGTCAGGAACCAAATGTCACCGATGAAGCAATTCAGACATAACCAACTTTCTCTATTTTTCATTAACTTTGTCGCTCACTTTATATCGACTTGTTCAATTGCAAATGCTTTGGAACAACAAAATGAAACAGAAATAAGTCTTATTAATCACTTTTGTTATGTTCTTTGTTCTCCGTGGTACTTTCAAAGAAGAACACATATGTAAAGAAGATCACTAAAAGAAGGTCTTGAGGGCATTTCTGGAGAGTCAGTATTAAGTAGAATACACAGAAGGAACAAGTGTGTGCCAATGGGGACAAATTCACAACAAAAATGAAGGTCAAAAAGACTACAAAGACACTGACTCCAATAGAGAAGTGGTATGGTATATTCAGTCGCACACACAAGTCTACAACCCGATATGAAAAGAGTACTGCTGCTGATATATAGTCGACGGCAAGGAAGTATGGGCAATGCTGGAAGTGGACCATTAACACAAGTAACACAAAGAATGTCCACATCCAGTTTCCTAGTGTTGTGTCGTTAGGTATAACTACCCAAAAGAGAACAACAGGGACTACTAAAAATGAAAAGTTCATCATATGCTTTACAACGTTGTTACAACATCTACAGAGTAATGCGTAGCAAAACACAAAGACGAGACTGTGTGTAAACACAACAGACGACACATTATACCGAGTCGTATCCACAAAGTCATTTATCTTAGAGGAAATACCTAAGTCATCATAACTGGAATCGCCTAAGATATTTTGCGTGGATTCAGTGAATTTGCTGTAATCCAAAAAGACCACCATTTTCATCACCCCACACAAAATTCCAGGACGAAGTAAGATGAATGACATCACAAATAAAGAGCAATAGAGCACCCCACTGACAAGACTGATTTGAAATAGACTACACTTCTTAAAGCCACTTGATAAAAGGAATGATGTAGATGATATCATAAACGCTGTGAAGAAGAGCGTGTTAATATCTACTGTTTTTAAAGACGGAAATACATTCAAGTATGTTGATGTTCCCATACACATATTATGATTAAGCCACTGTTTGATCGTAGTCAACGCAGTCACTTCAAAGTGTTGGGACTGTTCGAGCACAACATGAGTGACAAGTACAGTCGTTGTCAATAGAAGAAGTACAAGACTTAGAACTCTTCCTACACTCATGGTGTTTTGAATTATTTAATTTATAGTATGTAAATAGAACTTTTATGGTATTTCAATAATGTCTTTTGTTTTCTACTAAATAGTATTAATTAAACTATATATTCAACTAATACGCAAAACGAATGATTAAACTATTAATATAATTATTAATTAAACTATCATTAAAACTATTAAGTATAATATTTTTTATTATTTTATAATAATACAATGAGTACTAATACAAAAGATGAAAAAACTGATCACTTTTTAGCTAAACCGCCTTTGCTGACAGGCATAAACTTCTTCTTTTCAGTGACTTCTCTTTGCATGAACCAAATAGCGCCTTGTCCGGCACCTTCAGCCTTCCTCTTTTGTTCTTCAAGATACGCCTCAGCTTCTGCTACTTTGTGGTTTGCGTCTTGGACGGATTGTTCCGCTTGTTCTTGTGCTTCGACGGCTTGTTTTTCGGCTTCTTCAGCTTCTTGTTGTGCTTTTTCACTTTGTGCTTTAGCTTCATTTGAGGCTTGAAGAGCTTGTTCGGCCTCTTCTTTTGCTTTTTCAGCCGCTTCTTTGGCTTCAGCAGCAACTTGTTTAGCGGCGTCTGCGTCTTCTTTCGCCTTCTGAGCAATTTCTTTAGCTTCTTCTGCCTGAGCTTTTGCTTGTGCTGCTCTCTCTTTAGCATCATCGGCTTCTTGTTTAGCTTTTTCACTCGCGTCTTTTGCGTCTTCTGATTTCTGTTTTGCTTCTTCTGCTTGTTGTTTAGCATTCTCACTTTCTTGTTTTGCAGTTTCAGCAGCATTCTTGGCTTCTTCGGCTTGCGCGTTAGCCTCTTCGGCAGCTTTTTGAGCGGCTTCTGCTTGGTTCTTAGCTTCTTCAGCAGCAGTTTTGGCTTCGAGAGCTTGTTGAGCTGTAGCAGAAGCCTTTTCACGTGCTTCTGTTGCTATTTTGACTATGTGTTATTACGTCATATTAATAGATAAGAAGTACAAAGTGAACAAACCTGGCTTGGCGGCTCTCTTCTGAGCGGCTTCTAATGTGATTTTGGCTCTTCTTAATGGCAAATCATCTTCATTGTCTAATTTTGCCAATTCTTGAATAGCTGCATTCTTCGCAACTAAACCAGATGTCTCAATCTTCTTCTTTAAAGCAGCTTTCTTGTTCTCTTTGGCTTCTTCTTGTGACTTGACTTCGTTCAAAGCTTTGGTGACTTCATCTTCAGCAGCTTGAGCTTCTTTTTGTCGTTCAATGGCGTCGTCCTCGTCTTTTTTGGCAACCTCTGCAGCGTTGGCAGAGATCTGCGCGGTATTGACACTCTCTTCAAGCTTCTGTGTGGCTTCTTCGACTTTTTGTTGACTGATCTGAAGCTTCTCTTCAGACTCCTGAAGCTTTTGTTTACTCACTTCAAGCTTTTGAGCAGCTTCGTTATCAGCTTCAGTGGCTTCCTCAAGTCGTTGCTTCGCTTCTTCGAGTCGTTGATTGCTTATTTCAACCTTCTCAGAAGCTTCATTGTCACGAGCAGTAGCTTCTTCTACCTTCTGCTTTGATTCTTCAAGTCTTTGGTTACTGATTTCGACCTTCTCAGCAGCTTCATTATCTCTTTGAGTGGCTTCTTCCACTTTTTGTCTTGCTTCCTCGGCTTTAGCGGCACTTTCCTCTGCCTTTTTGGTGGAGATCTCAAGTGCTTCTTTAGCTTCACTATTTTTCTGTTTCGATTCTTCCGCAGCTTTTTTAGACTCTTCTGCCTTTTTAGTGGCTTCTTCAAAAGCAATGGTGACGTCTTCTAACATCTGTTTGGCTTTGGCAAGCTCCTCTGTGTTACCACCTTGTGGGGCGTTAACGACTTCCTTCCAATCGTACCCAAAATAGAAAATAAGGAAGTTGATCATAGATATCTTTTTAAAGGAAGTCACACCGACTTTTCTCATATGGTTTCTCATCTCTTGGAAGGTCAGATGAGCATTCAATTTTTCAAAAACTCTGTGCATATTAACTTCGTCCAAGCCACAACCCTCTTTCCCATTTTCTTGTTCCAAACTGGAAAACAAGCCAACGAATTTCCAAAGTTCCTCAGCACGGGCATCTTTCTCTTTCAACCACATCGCATTCAACATCCAGACGGCCTGGTCTTGGAACTTCTTTTGTCCAATTTCTTTCAATTGTTCTAAATCACTCATCTGCTGTGTTATATTTTCTAGTTCGACTTTAATACCACTGCTGATTTTGCTTTTTGGAAGGTGGAAGAGACAAAAGAATAAAACTTTGGAGGTATGTATTGCTTTGAAGTATTTTATTGGATTCTATTCAACCACCTTTTGGAGCGTTGTTTATAAAAGACTGCACCGAAGCATTTTTTTTTTTTTTTATCATTGTCAATGCAAAACGCACATTTTATTTCATTTCTTTGTTATAAATAACATGAAAACAACCAGAATTACTTGTTTATAATTTGTGTCTACAAATTTCAGGTTTTGTGCTGACACCAATAAAGGTCGTGTAATTGTTTTCAAAACAAATATAGTTTGGTGTGGAATTCATTGAAATGTCTCAGACCAAGCATTTGACTATTCCAATCTACAAATTCAATGTTGATCTAGTAAATAAACAAACATCAATTAATTATCGATAACCCGCCACTCCATGACGGTTAGAATATACAAAAATGGTTTTTGGTTGCCACAAACCTCGATTTTGAAGTTTCAAAGTATCGACGAATTGAAGAAAACTTTTTGAAAAAAAAAAAAGAAGAAGGGTTTGAGCATAACCACATGTCGACGCCAATAGATACATACACAAGTCTCCCCGAAATTTTACCACCGTCTTTCAGTTCTTACGAAGTGTACTGTGACGAGTTAAACGACTTTTTGTCTGCCAATCAAAACCTTTTCACGACGAACCATTACGACGAGGATGGGATGTACCTCGACACGGAAAGGAGTGTCCACGCTTTCATGTACAATCAATTTGATTCATTACCAGAAGAATGGAAAAGTCAATTTCTGATCCCACTTGAAGTATATGCAACTGCGCATCCAGAACACGCTTTAGAGGTGTATTGTTACTTAATGGACTTGATGACGGATAAGATGCCAACGCTGCCATACCCATCTGGTGTCGACTTGGAAGTCATCAAAATGCTCAAGGAGAAGTTCCCTGTAGCTCACGGCTTAAATGACTTTATTGACCATTGCCGAAGACTGACCCCACGAAAGTTTGAAGACTCTTTTCAGTTTGATCCCAAAGCAAAAACGTGGTTTACAAAAGACATTAAAGGGAAGTCCCAACCTATAGACGTCGTCTTTATGAAACAAAAGAAAAAATACGAAATTCGACTCTTAGGCGATTTGATCATTAAAATAGCGAAGAACAGCGACGTGAAAACTATTGTTGATGTTGGCAGTGGGAAGGGGTACTTGACTGAATACATCGTCTTAAATTCCCCGTTGCGTGCCGTCGGGATCGAAGGCAATGCGGACTTTACAAACAAAATGGCGATACGTGTGAATGACGTTGATCGGAAAAGAGCGAAAGGCGTGCAACTGACTCACTCGGAAAGTTACACGGCGTTTTTAACAGCGGAGACGACGTCGTCTGAGTTCTGCGACATCGCCAAATTGCATGAAGAGAGTGTGTTATTAACAGGCCTTCACCCATGTGGGGATTTAACTCCGACGCTCCTTCGAATGTTTCAAGGGATTCCGGAGATTAAAAGTGTGTGTATGGTTGGGTGTTGTTATCACAAACTAACGGAGAACAAATACATCTTGATGGATGACGAGAAACAGCGAACGCTCTTTGAGAAGTGTCCCACGTGTGTTCCGAAGAAGTTTGGGTTTCCGATGAGTAAGCGTCTCTTGCACGACAGAATAATTAAGTTCCACATGGCGGAAAATTACGTGACGAGTAATCCCCACCCTGAGGGGAAGACTAGAGAAGAGTGGTTGTACGCTATGAAGATGCAAAGTTATCGAGCGGCTTTGGAATTGTTCATTCATCAGCACTTGCCCAAGTTTTATGAGTCACATTACACAGGACAAATTCGAGAGTTGCACACTAAGACATTTGGACTGTACTTAACGCGAGCTTTAGTGAATATAAGAAGACATACAGAAACATTCGAATACGGAAATAAAGAGTATGGACCA